CGTCGCCGGTCCCCCACGGAGAGGGGCAGCCCCACAGCTCACAGGCATGGCATCGGCGGTGCTTGTTGTGAAGCGCCCTGGTCGTAGCAGGAGCACGCGGAGGTCTGCAGGTCCAAGGGCAGCTCAGAGTCCCTGCACTGCTATTTTGGGGGGTGGGGGGCCACGCAGCCAGGGACGGGGCCAGCTCCCGTGTCACCAGGGCTGACTGAAGGGTGTGGGGCAGGCAGCAGGTGTCAGGGCACCCCGAGGGGCCTTGAGGATGGGCAGAGGGGTTCAGGCCACTGCTGAGGACACATGGTTGTGAGGACACATGGTTGGGCTGGGGGTGGAGGTCATCACTTAGGAGCCGTGGCCAGGATGGGGACTGACGGAGAGATCGGAGCCCAGGCTGGGCTGGGGGCAAGGGGGGGGTGTCACTCAGAAGCAAGGGCCGGTTGGGAGGGTGGGTCAGTCCTGGGGGGCCCTGGGGCAGGGCCATGGGTCTGTTCAGAGGAGCCATGGGACAGCTGCCCCTGCCCAGCCATGGTGCTGGAGCAGAGCGTGAGAAGGCTCGAGCTGACCGCCAGGGTGAACCAAGGGCCGGTGGCTCACAAGGAGAAAGGGGCCGGGAGTCTAGTGGGATAATAGGGCTGGCAGGGCAGCCACCTGGTCCCCCAGTACCTGAGCCAGGCCACAGATGGCAGCCAGGGTCAGCCAAGAGTCCATATCATCAGCCACATCCATGGTGATGCAGTCCGAGGTTGAGCCGGGAAGGTGAGTCAGCAAGGGAGGTCAGGATCAGGTCCAGTGACAGCAACCAGGGTCAGCCACAGTCTAGGGATCACCAGGTGAGTCCATAATGACGAGGAAAGGCCAAGGTCAAGCTGGGAAGTCGGTCTGTGGGTCAAGGTCCGGGTCCAGATCAGTGGGGTCCATGGGCAGGCACAGGCATGGCTGTTGTTCCCGCCACAGCCCCAGCAGCAAAACCTCAACTTCAACCCTCTCCCACAAGAAGAGGTGGTCCTGGATGGCCAAGGAGGCCCTGCAAGAGCACATGGCAGCCTCTGCCCCACGGGTACTCTCTAAGTTGGCCCCAAGCCCAGGGAGTCACACCCCCATAGCAGTTGGGGGTTGGAGGGAGAAGTGGAGGAATGCTGTCACAGCCCTTACAAATCCTTGCGGTAAAATCCGCAGTGACATTAATGTTCTCTGCACTGGAGTCAGCAGGACTCGCAGCTGTCACAGGCTGAGAGGAACAGCCGGGCTGGCGGGGACCTCTGCAGGGCTCTGGCCCGAACTGCTGCACAAAGCAGAGCACCGCCAGTGGGATGCTCGGGGCCCTGGCCAGTGTAAGAGCACCCCTCACCCTGCGCCATGCTTCTGCATCGCTGCAGCACGTGACATACCTGGAAGAGCCTGTTGCACTCCATTATCATGTGGGCCAGGCCCTGCGTTGCTGCCAGGTTCTCGCTCAGCTCCCTCTGGTCCGGCTTCCCCAGGCTGCACTTCCTCTGACTGGCTCTGCGGAAAGGGGCAGGCACACGGCAACGTGCTGTGAACCACGAGTACACCGTGCCCGCTCAGCTGGCCCGCTGCAGGGCTGGAAACCAGTGGCTTCAGCAAAAACACACCGCATTGAAGGACCCTTCCATACTGTGTAAGGGCTCGCATTATGTTCCTGCAGCAAGGGCCATAGACAGCGTTCCCTCCCAGCACACCCTGAAAGGGCGCAGGGCAGTACTGGCCAGCAGTAACGTATGCCCAAGAAAGGCAAGGCAAGGCTCTTTATTTCCCAAGCTCATCATTCGGCCAAAGACAGCAATGACCCCAAACTGATTTGTGTGTAGCCTTCAAATATCAAGCTCCTTTGATGCCCTGCAAAGCCCATGCAGAACTTTTTAAATCCTTTGGCCCAAACCACGCCAAACGCGTTTCAAAAACAGTCCCCTCTTTTAATTCATAATCATTATATGACATCATTAATCCCGGCTTCTGATACTTTTATCTATGTGCATTCCTGACAAATGGCTTTGAAATTTGGTGGGCTTGAAAATTCAGTGGAAGATAAGAGTCCTCAGCTCTGCTCCTCAGAGTCAGACCTGTCAGCTCCTACCCTTTGAAGTCGGAACTCTGCACTACGGCATTAATGCCCGGTTACAAAAAAGCTAAAGCTTCAAAGCATCCCGGCTTCTAAACAGTGACAACAAAGAGAAAACTCAGCTTCTATTTTTGCTCCTAGTATTTCAGCATAATGTTTCTGTAAACCAAAGAGGCACAGCTCTCAGAGTATGACTCCCAGGAGCTCAAACGCGACTGCAATGCAGGAAGGACCTGCTGCCACTACAGCTCCACCGCATCCCCTGCTGCCCTTGTGACGACCACGCGGCTCCCCGGCTGCATGCTGGCTCAGCCCAGGGAGAGCTGGGCAGCCCTGGGCTCTAGTTACACTCAGGCATTTTCGGATGTGTTGTGCCATTGGAAAGAAAAGCTTTTAGTGTTTTCTTTCCCCTCTCTGTGCTACTATTACATCTGCGTTATTATCCTGAGGGATGCCAACGGCACATCTGACACCTTCTGCTTTGGAATTAGCCCTCATCTTGTGAGGCGATGAACTCGCTACTCTGATGGGTGCACAATGTCTCCGTCACAGTCAGCTGTCCTTTCCTACCCTGATACGTGTCCGTCTATGCGCAGGAGCACGGAGTAAAGCAAACAGCCCTGCCTCAGGAGACCAGATAAGGCATGAATGCTCTCAGAGATTATTTGTCTGCTTTGGCCCAAGGGCACCTTCCTCCCTGCACGTACAAACAGGGGATGTTATGCAACCCAGATACTTCTACTTATTAAGATAAATTTACAGAATCCCTGTGGCTCGGTTTGGCAGGAACGATCCCCTTATCACCCAGCAGAACTAGTGCCAGCGACTGCTGCAATCTGCCAGATATCTGCAGGGCCTTAAAGCTGCACCTGGGCTCAGGTTGCCAGTGCAGGAGCTACATTTTCAACAGCCAGCACCACCTTAATGCAAACAGTGGGCCGCATGTGGGGTTCTTCGGCAGCTGGACCTGTGGGCAACCACAAAGAGTAGAGCGAGGGAGGCAGGCTAGCGCACACGCGGACTAGTCAGGAGCATGGCAACAGGGCCTGACCACTGCTCTCTACACTGGACAATGAGCTGCTGGATCTCGCCATGCACAGTTGGCATAGAATTATAGAATTGGTTTGGTTGGAAGAGACCTTTAAGATCATCAAGTCCAACCGTTAACCTAGCACTGCCAAGTTCCCCCTAAACCATGTCCCTCAGCACAACATCTACATGTCTTTTAAATACCTCCTGGGATGGTGACTCAATCGCTTCCCTGGACCTGAACAATCATATTTGAGACAAACCCCAGGACACATACGCTATTTCCCCCTTAAAAGCAGACACTGATCTGGGCCAGCTACAGAAAGCACTGTTCCAGCTAAGAACACCGCAGACAGCAGCAATGCCAGCATTACCAGCTAATACCTAGTGGAGGAGGAGGAACTATCCCGTCTCATGGTGTTGAGGTGAAACAAAGAAGGCGCAAGGCAGACAGCAATGTTGGTCGGGGTCATCTGGTTTTCCTCAACAAAAGCAACCACATCTCGCAGAAAGAACAGGAGGATTTTCAAAGCTTCTCGGTTTTCCTTTGGGAGAAGGAGAATAGCAGCCTGGACAGCCTGAAACTGCTGATCCTTCGGCACATCTGAAAACAGAAAGAATGATGAAAATCACACGTGACATGCAGAGGAAGCATCCATCAATGGAGTCCCAACCGGGCATTGAAACTCTAGGTTCATCCATTTTCCTGTCACTCTAGCTCACAACAGACAAAGAAAAGGCCATTATCACAGTCACATCACACAAGGACAGTTTTCTCCTATTGCCTGTCAAGATGTACATTCACACCCAGTGATGTTGGTGCTTCACGTAATTTATCTTGACGACCATGCTAATGAACTTATCCTGAACACGCTCTGGTTACAATCCAAATAAGGGCTTCTCTCCCTGTAAAATATTACTCTGGGATGATACTTTGGAGCAGACTCTACTGTCTTTCCCTTTCAGCTTCAGGCATGAAGAGAACAGATGGTCTCAGTTAACTCAATTGAGAGCACAACGTTTTTGCCAGAGTTTAATTCACAGTGAAAGCCAGTGAGACTGTGTGCCCAAACAGCTCCTGCTGGAGAGTAGGTACAGTTCATCCTGCCATGTGTCTCCCTATCATGAGGGTTTCTCC